TCCGTCCATCTATCCCACATGTCTCTACTAATCTGCACAAAGTCTTCTAGGCACGATAGATATGAATTATCGCCCGACTGAGTTATGACTGTCTTTGTGCTTTGCAACTCAGTGTTTGAAGGTATGCCTGCGGCTGGAGTTGATTTCCTCTGAGCTTGGCCTCTCCCACACTTCCGGCTCCTCAGGTAGACTTACTTGACAGCCCCCACCGCAGCAATTGCCCCGAACACAGCTGGTCTCCCCACCTTTCCTCCAAAACCTCCACCCACGCGTTTCACGTGGCAGGTGATCTTGTTGCTGGGGATGTTTAAGGTAGAGGACACTGTTTTCTGTGAGAGACAAGGAGGTTTAGAGAAAAACGACAGCCAAGTGTTCCGGTTTCTGAGCTAGAGCTACAGGGCAGTGGCCAGTCACATCTGCTACAGTGTGGGAGTGGAGAGTCCGCTCATTTCTCCTTCCTTCCTTCCTTCCTTCCTTCCTTCCTTCCTTCCTTCCTTTCCTTCTTCCTCCTTTCCCTTCTTCTGTGATTTTTTTTTTTTCGAGACAGGATTTCTCTGTAGTGTTGGAGCCTGTCCTGGAACTAGCTTTTGTAGACCAGGCTGGCCTCGAACTCACAGAGATCCGCCTGCCTCTGCCTCCCAAGTGCTAGGATTAAAGGCATGAGCCACCACTTCCCGGCCTCAGGATCATTCTTTTTATTGTTGATGAGAACAGGAAAAATTTAAAACGGCTCAGGGGTCTTAGCTGCATCATAGACACCAAACATTTAGATTCTAAGTTTCTGTTAGTGCAGTGGCGGCCCCTTCACTACGGAGACTGATGGCCACGGTGGCGGTAGGCAGGCGCTGGTGGGGTTCTGCAGGAGCTTACCTGCACATGGGCTGGGTCCTGGGTGGACACGTACACGTCCAGTTCCTGGTCTTCTGTCTTCGGGATAATGAGCACTCTTTGGGTTTCCATGTAGAAGTGTTCTTGCCCTCCAACATGGACCTCTCCTGGGAAGGGCGGGGACACGCCTGGAGGTGCATGCTGGTTGGAAGCTGCCATCACGGGGCCTCATGGCATCACGGAAGTGGAATGTGAACCGCCCGCCTGCAGCGCTACCCACTGAGGAAGCTTTACCTCGTGAAGATCAAGGGGACCTGTCTCATCGCTCTGCCCTTGACGAATCAAACTTTAGGAATTTTCTCCTAGTCTGTTACTGGTTTCTCAACTCCAGAGACCGCATGGATACACAGGTGCATGGATGCACGGGGGTTCTGAGAAGGAGTCTAAGTTTGGGGAAGCTCCGGGACTTCAGAGGGCAAGCCTCCCAAGGGGCAATCATACACACCCTTGATGGCTGGATCCGAATGGTTCTTCCAGACTGTTTACCTTCAACTATCTGATCCACGTTTTCAAACGCCTCCTCGATGTTCCCTTGTTCGAGCTTCTTTTCAGGACACAGGAACGAATTGTGTTTTATGGCGTCCTACGTAAAAGGACGGAAACACGAAGCCAGTCATCCTTTTTTTTTTTTTTTTTTACTGCTGGCTGCTAATACTCCCCGTATTGTTGTCTTGTGGGACAAAGAGCATTGACGAGCTCCAGAGTAAGCAAGAGATCGGAGGAAATCAGTCCAGAAGGAGGAAGAAAACATCAAGAAGGAAGCGTGTTCAGAACTGAGGTCTAGACTCAGAGGGGTGGTTCGGGATGGCATATGCAGTATGAGGTGCCAGGAAGGGAGGCTCTGAGCTCCTTTTTTCCGCTTCTCCCAGAGATACTTAGGTAGCTATGTGCACGAGCCTCTTCTTCACTCAGGATTTTGAGAAGGCTGAGGCATTCTGATAGGGGCAAGACAGTCACATTGTCATTCCTTTGGGGGATGTGACATATTTCAACAGGGCCTTTCTAGACCTTTGTTCTTTCCCCCTCCCTTTCTTCTTTCCCCACACCTGCTTTCTGACATGAGCAGGAACCGACCCCCATGTGGAGCTCTTGGGATCTGTGGAGCGACTTACCTGCCATCGCTGATCTTGCTAACACCCCTGAACCCCTATGTCCTTCTGTACTTCAGAAAGACACCTGTCTCTTGGATTCTTGGACTCCAAAAGCCTTAGGGTTCGCAGTCTTTTAATGGGTTACAGTGAGAGTGGCTACTTTTTAATTGAGCGCTTGCTTTGTGGCAAATCACATAGCAGTTTCTTCAGCGTTGATACGTACCACACTGCGGGGAAGCTTGGGACATTCTAAGTGAGGCTCATTGAGACTAAAGAAGTTAGTAGGATAGGAGCACATGCCTTTAATGCCAGCACTTGAGAGGCAAAGGCAGGTAGATCTCTGTGAGTTTGAGGTCAGCCTGGTCTATATAGTTCCAGAACAGCCATGTATATACACCCTGTCTCAGAACATCATGTGGGTGCTGGGAAGAGAATCATTGAACCATCTTAGCCACCATAACATCTCTCCAGCCCAACTTTCCCGTTCCAAAGGGAGACTGACTGGCCCTACCTACCTCGATGGTGAAAATCATAGGCTCCAGGTCCTCGTAGGTGATTTTTATCTTCTCGGTTGCTCGTTTTGCCTGAACATCAGTCTCTGCAACCACGGCACAGATGATCTGGCCCACACAGAGCACCTGTAAAGTACGTAAGTAGAGCAGGAGAGGACAGGGACACGGCTCAGTATGCAATGGCGATTGCCGTACAGGCTTGGGGACATGAGTTCAATCCTGGAACACATGTAAAGGTAGGTGGGGAGAGACACGCCTCCATAAAGCTGTCCTCTGACCACCACATTGGCCTCCATGCTCTCATCATGATAAATGAACTAATTTAAATAATTTTAAAGTGAAGAGAACAGAAGCCAGACTCAACCTCACCAGGGGCTGGCATCTTCAATGTCCTTGTTGAACAGAAATAGCCACACTGGAGTCAAATGTACTTGGGTAAAAATTTAATAATAATAATAATAATAGGAAGATATTTTTGAGATTTATTTATTTTTATTTTATGTGTGTGGGTATTTCGCCTGCCTGTCTGTATCACATGCATGTCGTGCCCACAGTGGCCAGCAGAGGGCACTGAATACTGGGAAACAGGAGTTACAGACGGTTGTGAGGGGCTTTGTGGGTGCTGGGAATCGAACTCAGGTCTTCTGGAAGAGCAGCTGGTGCTCTTAAGAACTGAGCCATCTCTCCAGCTCCATGTTTAGACAGTTTTATTACGGGAGCCCCAATAGACTGATAAATGATAGTCAACCTCTTCTGATGGATAAAAAAACAAAACAAAACACAACACCAAAAAAAAAAAAAAAAAAAAAAAAAAAACAAAACAGAAGGCCCCACTGATCTTCACGAGGGGAGGAGAAAGTGTGTGGGATTCACTGGGATGTGAGAGTAGTTAGAACTCAGTGAGAGTCTTCCTATGCCAACCTCTGTGATAGGCACCTTGGTATGCACTTGTTTAACTCCTGTGCTACGGTGAAGCGTGCTATAACCATTCCTCCCTTAAAGAGGGTGGACCCCAAGGTAGTTGAAAATGCAGGAAAAGAAGCTGAGGTGCTCTGGCTCTAAGTCGGGGCGGGGGGTCAATAAATGACTGTTGAGTTGGAATTATAAGGCCAGCAATAGCCAAGATGACTTAATAAAAACAGAGCAAGTGAAGGTGAATGAGACCTCTTGAGAGTTCTGGTCCCCCCCTCCTTTCTAGATCTTTCTAGAGCATTCTCTTCTGATATTGATCAATTCCTTGTCAAGTAAATAAACCCCAAAGCACATAGTGGCTAAATCAGATTTACGATTCGTTTTTGCTTAATGTGTTATTTCCTAACTTCAGAAAGGCAAGGTTGATAAAGGCATCAGGGTAGAGAGGAGCCAGGGCCCTGGTACTTCTGCATCTCAGTAGTGGAAAAAGCCAGGAGACAAGGGCAGTTGACCTCCAGGGGTCCTGGGGTGACGATTTGTACAGGCATCTGGGGAAACGTGTCCCATTCCTACCTCTTCTACAGCCAGTAACTTGTCATCGTCGGCACCATTGGCTCCTGGAATATCCTCAGCTGTTATCACATCCACCACACCAGGTAGGGCAAAGGCCTCAGATGAATCGATGGAGCTGAAGATAAGGAGACGATTAAGAAGGAGAGAAACAAAAAAAAAAAAAAAAAAAAAAAAAAAGAAGGAGAGAAACATAATCTAACTTTGAGGGGCCTCCAAGCCAAGGGAAGGCATAGAGTATTGTTCAAAATAAAAACATGGGAACAATGTATCCAGCCTGAACAACCAGAACGGACAGTCACGGAGTAGAATCCAGGAGACCTGCTGCAGGGCCGGGAGGTAACACTTAGCTGCCAAAGAGGGGCATGGAGACAAGGCTTTGGAAGCGTGGGACAGAATTTGTTTCCTATTTAATCATGAAGTTGGTGTTTCTATGTTACCAGAGTGGCTCTGAGCCATGCATGGGGCTGCCGGGCATGAGGTTTTATGACTTAGAAGGCAAACAAAAGAACCATAACTTGTGTGTGTGTGTGTGTGTGTGTGTGTGTGTGTGTGTGTTTGAGACAGTCTAATGTAGTCCACCTGGGGCTGGACCTAGCTATGTAAGTGAGGAGGATCTTGAACTCCTGATCCTCTTGCCTCCGCCTGCTGGGATTACAGGGTTTACAGCTGCGCTGGCCTTATTTGGTGCTGGGATCGAACCCCGGGCTTTGTGCATGGCATTGTTCCATCAGTCCACTGATTGAGCTATATCTGCAGCCTCCTGTGCTCCCCTGTCACCCCGACGGTCATTTCTAGATATGCTCTCTTCCTCCTGTGGAGCTCTCTGGGTCAGGGCATTCACTGCAGAAGAGGGCACAGTTGAGGCAACATTTTAAAGGGTCTTGAAAAGTTTTCCTTTACTTACATGATTCTTGCATGAGCCCTGGTACTGGTCACCAAAGCCATGAAAAGTTCTTCATCCACTCTGGGGATGTCGTCACAAAATGTGGCTTCCCCTGTGGCATGTTTAAGACCTGACAGATGCATGATGGGACGGCCAACTGGATCTTGGAGAGGCTGGCGGGGATCCACACTCTACAGAGCAAGACAGAGTTAGATCAGGAACCTTCCAGCTCAGGTGGCCTGGGTGGCTCAGGGCGTAGCAGGACAGTTCCCTTGGACAAACAGTGGAGCAGGTGGGATGACAAGCATCATGGCCACGTCATGGTGTCATTTCAGTTGTGTGGCAACCCCTCTGAAATCGGTGAATGGACACTCCGCTTCCTCCATCTGTGGTAGCCCCGAATCCCTCCCCTCTGCTTGACAATTTCGGCCTCTTTGTCCTGCTTGCTCACCCGGTTCAGTCTGGATGTTTCCAGATGCCTCTGGCTGAGGTCTCCCTCATAGCTACAGTAAACCTTCTCCTCAACCACATTTTTGAGTGTCATGCCTTTATTTATTAATTTTTCATTCAGTGGTGTGTGTGTGTGTGTATGTGTGTGTGTATGTGTGTGTGTGTGTGTGTGTGTGTGTGTGTAGGGAGGGGAGGGCTGTGTACCAACCAGCAAGAACAGCTCATTTCTAAGCTGTCGTCCTTCCTTGCAGGTCTCTTATTTACTGACTGATTAAACATTTGCAGTTCCTGCTAGAGATGGAGCCCCTGGGCTCTGGTAGTTCCTGCTAGAGATGGAGCCCCTGGGCTCTGGTAGACACTAAACAAAGCCCAGCAGAATATCTCTTTAAAGAGATGACCTGCCCTTGAATCCCTCTGGTGGAGCAGCCCTGTGCTCCTCCAACGCCAGCTCTTGAGGTTCAGAGGCTCCTGACTCCCTGTGAATAGCGATTTCTCATCAGCTTATCTCTAGGTGTGGGTTTCAGTGAACTCAAAGGCACTGACCTGGTATGTTTGGACTCCCTGGGGTAGTGTGACCTGGAAATCTTCCAGAGCACTCAGGAACCGGTCTGCAATCGCTGGATAGTGCTGGCTGTCCTGGAAAGACTCAGCACAGTGAGACAGACTGGTTAGAGAAAGACTAGTCAGTCTGGATCGAGCTGGGTTTGGATTATGTGGAATGGCTCCTAATGTACCAAGGGACGGCTTAGTAACCCCCCCCCCCCCCCCCCGCAGGGTTTCACGTTTTATGATTCTGGTACCCTCTCACTCCCTATCCAAGCCAGAGCTTGGATGACTGACTGGTTTGAATCTGATTTCATGTCCCTGGATGGAAGGGCTGCCAATGAGTTCAGAGGTGGTGTGTGTGTGTATGTGTATGTACGTGTGTGTAAGGTCTACCAGTGAGTTCGGAGGTAGTGTGTGTGTGTGTGTGTGTGAGGTCTACCAGTGAGTTCGGAGGTGGTGTGTGTGTGTGTGTTTAGGCTGGATAAGTCATCCCAGAATAAGTTTGAAGCTATAGTTCACAAAATGAAGAAAAATCTGAATGTTTTTGTTCCAGGATCTTTTTTTCTGAGGCAGGAAGACCACTCTGGTGTCCTGACTGAGAAACGAAGCGCAGGTCTCCATCTCAAATTCAGAGGTTGGGGACCCCATCTTTGGGGATAGTGGCCATGGGGCAGGGGTGGCTGAGGAACAGAGTATAGGGAAGGGGGAGACCTGTGCGCGCAGTCAGGGAAGGGTTGAGGCTGAGAGTGCAAGGCAGGGGGAACAAGCGTGGCCGTGAATATTTTAACTTCTTCTGGAAGGTTGCAATCAGAAAATCTACGAAGCCATCAAGGCATTCATATACGTATGTTTTCGATGTTTTGAAGCATAAAAATTTGACGTTATATTTCATCTTGATTACGAAATTCTAGACTAAGCAAATTGAAGCCACAGGTCCACAAAGCAGACCAGTGTTTGTCTGGACAGGGTGGGGATGAGGACACGGAGGGGGCGAGGGAGTTCTTTGGGGTGAAGAAAATGTGCTGCATTTAGTTAGCGTTGGGCTCCACAGGTAGACATTTGTGTACTAAGTTAAAAATGGGTGGGTTACATTATAATTTATTATTTGTCTCCTGTGTTACTGTAAATTATGCCTCAATAAAGTTTAAGAGGAAAAAAAAACAAAGAGTGGAGAGAGAGACTGGGTACCTTTTCGGTGCTGGGGCACAATAAACACTGAGAGCTGATGGTGGTTTATCAGCTCCATCAGGGCCAGATCCCAGGAGGAATGCTGGGCTGACAAAGACTACCCCAGATCAAGGGTTTCTAGACAATGATAACAGGCTCCCCACAGGATAATTGGTTCCGCTAAGCTAGGAGCTCCTGGCAGCAAGGAGCTGAGAGAAGCCAGTATTATGGTTTGAATTTCATCTTCCTGGATGGCTATGTTGAAATCCAAGCCTCAAGAAACTCAGAGTGTGACCTCTCCAAACAGGGTGGGATGTGACTATGGGGGTAAAGAATTAGATTTGGTTGCCATTATGGCTGGCGTCCTCTTGGAAGGAGAAGTTTGGGCCTAAACACTCACACGGGGGCAGCTCTGTGTAAAGGCAATGGCAGGCCGATTGCGGCAAGGTCGCCGGCAAGCCACCAGAAGCTAGGCCGTGCCACCAGGAGCCATGCACAAGGAACGGAATAAGGCCTCACAGCGCTCAGGAGGAACCAACTCTGACGGTGCCTCTCTTTTCTAATTTATTATTCAGTTTGATACAAGTCTCACTCTGTAGCTCAGGCAATCCTTGAAACTCATTGTGATCTCCCTGACTCAGCCTCCTGCGCGCTGGGATCACAGGGGTGAGTCAGGAGACTTCACCTTGGGCGAGGCCTTCTGGCGGCAGAACTGTGAGCCCATGACCACGCGTGAGGACGGTCGTCACTGTCCTCCAGAGCACTTACGGCAGACTCCGAGGACAGCTTTAGTTTTCTCCTCAGTCCCTGCAGAACCTCCAGGTAGAACTTGAAGAGGAAGCTGACCATCAGAGTCCTCTTGAACTCCACTTTGCCTCCTAGAGCTGATCCCGGGAGCGAGATTTCTTCCAGAAGGTGCCTACAAGCCTCGTCTAGCAGGAGCGCATTCCAGTGCCTGGTACCATGGGAGGCGAGAAGGACCGGTTAAAGGGCGGTCTAATTACACAGAAACCGACATTTTAGAGTTCCCAGGATTTTCCTTAGAAATCGTGTTAACAAGGTGTTTGGAAAAATCAAAACCTGGGAATCTGCTCCAAGCGGCACGAGAATCGTGCCTGGGTGAGAAAGGAACCTTCCCCACTGCGAGAGTGTAGTAGAATCAGAATATTCTAGAACAGAATAGGGGCTACTTGGAGAGGGCCGCTGAGTGTTCATTTGCAGGAGAAAAGGGACATGTTTGAGAAAAACATCACTTGCTGAATGGACTCAGGCCTGGGCTGTTGTTGTGTCTCTCAAAAAAGTGGCTTAACTGAAGCCAAACAACATGGAATCAATTGCTGTGGAATAATCCTCTTGTACACTGCAAAGATTTGTCACTTGAATTGGTTTAATAAAACGCTGATCGGCCAGTAGCCAGGCAGGCAGTACAGGCAGGGTGACCAAATTTAGGACGATGGGAAGGGAGGAGTCAGGGGTCTCCAGCCAGGTGCAGAGGGAACAGGAGACGAACATGCCATGGTAACAAAGGTACCACCATGTGGTTGAGTGCAAATAAGAAATATGAGTTAACTTAAAAGTAAGAGCTAGCCAGGCAGTGGTGGTGCATGCCTTTAACCCCAGCACTTGGGAGGCAGAGGCAGGAGGATCTCTGTGAGTTCGAGGCCAGCCTGGACTACAGGAGCTAGTTCCAGGACAGGCTCCAAAGCTACAGAGAAACCCTGTCTCAAAAAAAAAAAAAAAAAAAAAGCAAACAAAAAACCCATAAAGTAAGAGCTAGTTAGTAATAAACCTGAACTATTGGCCAAGTATTTATAATTTATATAACTCTGAGTCAATTATTTGGGAAGTTACTGCCAGGTATTTGGGAACAGGTGGGCAGGAGAGAAATGTCCAGTTACAATTAATTCAACAAAATTAAAGAAGGAACAAGCAGTGATATTTTTCTTCAATAAGTCTGGGTTTCCATCGTTCCAGGGCTTTACCAACAACTGTCAGGGTCAATTCGTTTTTCCCATCATCAAGGCTCCCTCTAAAGCACAGCGCTCATCACTGACCTGCCAAGGAGCTGCTGGCAGGATCTGTGTGCACTGACAGTGGCCGGCCCCACCCCGCCAAAGGCGATGCTCAGGTCCTCGATGGTGTCTGTGCCCTCACTGAACAGGACTCTCATGCCAGCGTTCACATCGGGCAAAGCGTTGTGATGGCACTGGGCCTGCCGGAAGGCAGACACAAACTCCCACTGAGGAGACAGAAGCCATTCGGGCGTATCGGATATGTCAGGATGAAGAGCTGGGTTCCCTCTTGGTGCCTCTAACTAATTAATCACTTAGACGGATGTAATGGGACACAGAGGGCAGTTGGCTAAATGAGAGACGCTTGGGTTGCCTTCTTGCAGAGTGAGAATGTTCTTTTTAAAAAATTCATTTATTTATAGCCGGGCGGTGGTGGCGCACGCCTTTAATCCCAGCACTCGGGAGGCAGAGGCAGGCGGATCTCTGTGAGTTGGAGGCCAGCCTGGTCTACCGAGCTAGTTCCAGGACAGGCTCCAAAGCTACAGAGAAACCCTGTCTCGAAAAACGAAAAAAAATTCATTTATTTATATTTTTATTTTTGTATATAAGCCTTGTTAATTATTTGCTGCACATGTGTCTAGAAACCCTTGGAAGCCAGAGGAGGGCATGCAAGGCCCAGAGCTGGAGTTACAGACAGTTATGTGCCCTGTGTAGGTGCTGGGAACAGAACCCAGATTCTCTGTAAATGCATAAGTATTCTTAACTGAGGAGTCTCTCCAGATACCCTTAAAAGAAAGTTGGAGCTAGGTATGGTGGCGCACACTTTTAATCCCAGCACTCGGGAGGCAGAGGCAGGTGGATGTCTGTGTACCATGTGCATACCAGGTTCCCATAAGGGCGAGGAAAGGCTGTGAGATCCCCTGGAACTAGAGTTACAGATGGTTGTGAGAATCCACGTGGGTGCTAGGAACTGAACCTAGATCCTCTGCAAGAGCAGTAAGTACTCTCAGCTGTTGAGCCTTCTCTCCAGCCCAATGCTATACCAGTTTGCTAGCTTTTGCCTTTGCACTTTCGGATGGGAAGGCACGTTCAAGTTTTTGTTCTGAAGGGAGGACTCAAATACCATCCATAGCTGGAACGTAACTTAAGACTTCATTATGACCTGCCACTGCTTTGTATGTGCGTGCATGCGTGTGCGTGTATGCATGTGTGTGTGTGTATGTCTGTGCATGTGTGTGTGTGTGTGTGGTATTGCTACTCCTCTGGAGTCAAGCACAGCTTTGGAGAGAGGCCTAAGGAACAGAGAGTGAGAGCATTAGGCCACCTCCATAATTGGCTGGGTGACCACAGCAGCCCAGTATGCTGGGTCAGGGAACATCTGGAGGCCATGTGTTCCTGTAAAGCTCTCGGGGTTGGCAGGAATTCGGGGGTGGGAAAGCCAAGCTAGGACTCCAGCTTCCTGTGTGTCAGGTAGAGAAGCTCCATCTTCAGCCAGGGAGCCTTTGCCCGTGGGGAGCGTGACCACAGGCCTTCTGCCGGTCACACCCCACAGCTGCGGCAACTGCCAAAATCCACATCCTGGAGCCACTTGCTCAGGACAGTCCCAGAGGCTTGTGGCTGAACCAGTTTGTGGCAGGTCAGGAAACAGTTTCAGGGGACACCGTTATTTTCCTTCCACCTGGCTTCAGACATTAGGGGTGACCGGGCTCCAGACTGACTGGGAGAAACAAACCAGCCGGTTTCTTACCTTTTGAGAGTGAGGGATGTACACAGATGTCAAAATCTCCTCTGGCTTCAGGTCCTCACTCGCCAACCCAGCAAGGAAAGATCCATCGAGGGGAATCTGCCGTGCGCCTACTGTGGAAAGAAACGGCATTTCTGCGGTCAGGAGGAAAGCGAGCCGGATCTGTACTTTCGGAGGCTGGCTGCAAGTGGAGATGTGTGCCCTCTGCTCAGAGTGACAGATGCAGAGGTCGGTGACTCTGTTAAGGCATCCCCTTTTCCTCCACTGTGCGCGGCACTTGTTTTCCCGTCAACGCTCACGCCGTGCCTGCTACCCCTGTGAGTTTTCATCCTTTAGCCAAGGATATGAACTGAGGTCAAGGCTGTGGTGAAACTTAAGCTAGCACTGGATTTACTTTTGCTGCTAGCAGAGTTCAGCTCACGCTCGCCACAGTTTTGTGTTCCTGACACACAAACACACCTTTAAAGTAAACAGCTTGTCAAATCTGCCCTGGGCTCAGCTAGTCACCCTTTGGGAGACGACAGCACTATCCTCAGGCTTTTAACATATGGATTGCAAGTTTTAGGGTACAGGATGTGCCCTGAAGAGATCAAACCATAGCAGAGGGATAATTTGAGTTCTATTTCCACACCTTACCCCCCACCTCTGCACAATTGGCACCGTGTTGGTTGGAATGCCAGTATTGTTGTAACTTGGTGGAAAACCCCACTGATCACCGTCCACCTGTCTCGCTGCTATGCCAGTGAGTTGACACCTCTGGAGTGACGGAGGTCTGCGTTAGCTCTGGCAAAGTTGGGAGAGCAGAAACTGTAAATCAACAGTAACTACAAACATCCAATAAAACGAGAACAGAAGGCCCTGGGCAGGGACCTCACCAGCATGGTATCCCTAGAGTTTCAGCTTTTTGACCATTTTGTGGGTTAAACTGGGGTCATCCCAAACTACAGGCCTGGTGACCTCAGAGAAAAGCCTGGGTCAGCCAGCATCCTTAACCTTCTGTGCCCTCCCTCCTAACAGTCTTCAAGTGATGGCCATTGGCCGGCCTCTCAGCCCCTAAGCTTTTCCCCACCCCACTCCCAGCAGTGAGTGCAGCGAGCCGGAAGTCCGCAGCAGCAGCAGAGGTGTGGCTGCTGCTTCTGCATCCCTGCGCCTGGGAGGTGGCAGTAGTCCAGATCTCCTGAGGGGGTGGGAGGGACAGAGGTGAAAGCATTGGATAGGTGGTCAGGTAGTCCAGAGGGAAGGGGAGGGGTATTTGAAGAAGAGTACCATAGAGGGGGTAGTGTGTGTGTGTGTGTATGTGTGTATGTGTGTGTATGTGTGTATGTGTGTGTGTATGTGTGTATGTGTGTGTGTGTGTGTGTGTGTGTGTGTGTTTTCTTAGACTGGATGTAGAATGAAGGCAGGAGCCTTGCTCCCTTAGGCTATAGGAACACACCCTCTGCAACAGGCTGGGTCCCCCTTTAGTGTGTTCACCCTCAAGAGAGTGTTTTTCTACACAATCCTGGCTGTCTTGGAACTCACTATGTAGACCAGGCTGGCCTCGAACTCACAGAGATCCTGCTTCCCCTGCCTCCTGAGTGCTGGGATTAAAGGTGTGCGCCACCACGCTCAAACCTCACTCTCTTTTTCAAAAAGATTGATTTTTATTATATTTAGTTATGTACAGGTATCTATATGTGGTTATGTTTGTGTAAATGTTGGTGACCACGGAGGTCCAATTCTGGAGTTGGGGTTATAGGCAGTTGTGAGCTGTCCAACATGGGTGCTGGGAAGCAAACTTAGGCCCTTAGCCACAGCGGGACATGCTCTTAACTGCAGAGCCATTTTTCCGATCACATCCTCTTTTCTTTAGAAGATTGGTTTTTATTGTTAAAAATTATATATAACATATAATTGTCTATCTCTGTGGGTCTGTGCCGTGAGTGCTGGTCTCCACAGAAGCTAGAGATGTTGAGTCCCCCAGGGACCAGAATTGTAGGCAGTTGTGAGCCACCTAGTGTGGGTGCTAGGAACTGAGCTCTGGTCCTCTATAAGAGCAGACTGTCCTGTCACCCTCTAAGCCATCTCGCCAGCACTCTGAACCTTACGCTCAAGTCAGCTCTTGTTTGTCACCCCTGGTCAAGCAAGAGCACATCAACTAACACATGAGCATGCGTGTGTGCATGCGTGTGTGTGTGTGTGTGTGTGTGTGTTCAACAGGAAGTACCTCTGCCTGTTGTTACAATGTATTTTCTTCATGACAGGGACTCCCCACAGTGAACGGGGAGTCTGTGATCCAGGCTACTACTCAATGAAATTTTTTAAGAAAATGTAAAAGTGTAGACAGGCAGTAGTGGCACACGCCTTTAATCCCTACACTTGGGAGGCAGAGGCAGGCAGATCTCTGTGAGTTCAAGGCCAGCCTGGTCTACAAGAGCTAGTTCCAGGAAAGGCCCCAAAGCTACAGAGAAACCTTGTTTGAAAAACAAACAACAACCACAAAAATAAAACCCAAGTATAAGGAAAAGAGACAAAAAGCTCTCTAAGAACTGCACAGAACATAGTTTACCTTCTGACAGCAGGTTGAGGGTGGCTTTGCCCACAGAGAGAATAGGATTCAGGTCTGAGTAGCAATGCCGGCTTATAACGTGTCCACCTAAGGTCTGAGGAGAGAAAATGACAGCTTGGTTAGTGTCTCGGGTCTTCTACCTTCCTTATAGACATCTGCCTCGGATCCTCTTAGGGTGTTGGAAGACTCAAGAGGAGTCTTGGCCACCATCGATACTCGAGGATCCATGAATATTAGAAGGCAGCTTTTAGGCTTAGTTTGTCTGACCCCCCCATCACTCCTTGGGTTCTGCTTCCAACCCCTAAATGCAACTGTCACCCTCTCCTTGGTAGGCTCTTGTGAGTATGTATGGACATCTGGAATATCTTGAGAGTTTTCACAAAGACAAGGTTCTCTGCAGACTTCGCAGGTGCAAGGATGTCCACCACACTGCTCAACAGATGTATGACGCGTATGTGTGTTTGGAAAACCAGCCAAGACTCGTTTCCCTTCTTATGACAATGGTTCTCTAGCTGTGGTTTGACTAGCACAAAGTAAAAGGTTTCCCAGCTTGCTTTAGGTACTAGACTTCTGTTAATGGAGCCTAAGATTAAATCAGACTTTTTGATAGACTTGTCAGAAAATTAGCAAGACCATGATGCCCTTTGTGGCTTAGCTATGGTGTTGAATTTCATCCAGAATTTTCCTGAACATTTCACTAACTATCATTTGTCGATTTAAGAATATTTGTCAGTTGGCCTGTTGTTTTGCCCCATTTGGCATGCTACTTCTGCCCGTGCTTATCTTGACGTCTCAATGAGAAGGAGGAACAAGTGTGAGCCCAGCGATGGACGGCAGGAAACCCACCGCCATGTTCCGGATCTGCTGCCCCGCCAGGCTCCGAAGGTGTTTCAGGAGAGCTCGGTAGGTCTGAGTTTTCTCCTCCGGGAGCTCAGAGATGTTCTCAGCCAAGATGTCCTTCACCTGAGCCAGGCTGCAGCAGGCGCCGATGGTCAGTCCTGGAAAACAGGTTGTTTTCGTCGGTGATATGGAAGGAGCAGAGCCGGCATCACCGCGGTAGGGTCTCATTTACCATTTGGTTAGTGGTGCTTTCTATTGTGGCTGCTCAGGGGGTCACCAGGAGCTTCCAGACCAGCTAAATCAGTCTCTGGGAGTCAGGCTTTCTCTCTTATTTTTATTGATTGATTGAGCCAAAGTCTCTCACTGGCTTGGAGCCTATTAAGTAGACTGGGCCCTTGCCCATGAGCCCCAGGGGTCTGCCTGTCTTTACCACCCAAATATTGTGATTCCTAGGTGTCCTACCTTGCCCAAATTTTCTAGGTGAACCTTGGTGATCAAATTTAGGTATTTATGCTCGCAAGACCCAGATAGCAGAGCCAAGTTCCCCAGTCCCAGGCATAGGGATTTTAAAGGCCCCAAGGTGATCTCCTGGGTAGCCAGGGATGGGACCTGGGGCCACACTTGTCTTTGGACAGGTGTGAAGAAGTAGAGGTAAAGAGAAATGCTGGTGGTAGACTCTACTAGAGCCTCCCATGATTCTCCTGAGTGACCAGAATTACTATGTGATTGAGGGGAATGAATCTGACAGCGTTAACACAGTGCCAAAGATCGAATCCCTAGGTCATGGGATTCAAATTCAAATAAATCAGAAGCTATTTTTTGGGTAGGAAAGAGTTTTCATGCAAATCAGAGGGAGGAGACCAATAGTGTGGAACAATGGTGACCTCTCCCTGGCTTCACTGTTCTCACAGGGTTTGCGATGATGCAATGTCATGGGGTGACATGATGCCACTACCCCAAGACCTCCCTAGAGGAACTACTACCTGATGACTTCTAGCTAAAAGCACATGAATCCTCAACCCAAGTAACGAACAAACCAAGTTTCTATTTACTTGCTTCTGTAAAGCAAAGAGACAAAATAGTCTGTGTATGCCCCTTAATGCAAACTACCCCCGTGCTGTGTGTCCCTTCAGTATACTCTGGCATGACAACATCTCAAAATTTAACAGCCAATAATTTAGTCCAAGAAGACCTGAATAGGAATCAAAATAGGCAATATTTTGGATTCAGATCTTCCAACTCTGATAATCATAACCTCCAAGAGGGACACTGGCCAATCAAAACCAACACATTCCAAGGACATGGCTGCCCGAGGCTTCCCATTGGTTGGCAGTGTTGGGTGTGGGGATATTCGGGACTCACAGGAAGAGGTGAAGGCAGCCATGGGTCAGCGCCCAGGAGGACTGGGACCATGCCTCTTGCCAACTGACCAGAAAGTAATCCAACGCATTGACGGAGGCTGGAATGAAACCCGTGAGGACTGGCAGGATGTGAGCAAGAGCTTCAGGATTTCTCCTCCGTAGGAGGAAAGGGGTCAAACCAATACAGGAAACTGTGTGGTCACCCAATCCGCCCGGAGCTGACCTTTTAAAATAGATCCATTACTGCTCTCAGTTTTCATAATGAAACTTCAGTGTACAAGTTTGAGTTGACCCCGCTTGTTGGATACTAATAGTCCTGAGTCTGTTTTTTAGCAGGTTTCAGATTGGGCTTGGATTTTTCTCTTGCTGATTCATCTTTGAGGGTATCCCACCCTCCTACATAGCTATATTTTATCAATATTGAATATTCTTGACACAGTATTTCTCTGTCTTTGCCAACATACCCCATCGCTCTCCCTGTTTCACTAACCTCAGCTCCCTTCCTGGATGGGAGAAGACTAGCAGCTTTTATTATTATTATTATTATTATTATTATTATTATTTTATCCACATGCCAAACAAATCTCACCTGAAAACTGTTCACTAAATCATCCCTCCTTTCAAGAACATCAGCCTGAAGTATCTGTCTCCTGTTCTAGCCTCTCATCAAAGATGCCCTAATGAGATCTGGTCCTATCTCAGACCCCCCACCTGTTGATTCCTTATCCCTATAAGTTTGACTGGCACCTACTCCTTACTTTCTGTAGCCAGAGACAGTGGTGCATGCCTGTGACCCCAGAACTTGGGAGGCCGAGACAAGGTGGTCATGGTTTTGAGACCCATCTGGGCTAGCTAAGGAGATTGTGCCTCTAAAAAAAAAAAGTCTTTTTAACAATAAACTAAAACTCAAACCCCAAATTCCTGCCATACTTTTGGAGGAGCCTAGCAGAGCAAATGACTTGTCCCTAAGAAGGCCCTGGTCCTTGTTAGGGAAGAAACCTGACACAAACATCTCGCTATTATTTAGGCAAGAGGTTTTGCACAGAGACCAGAGTGGCTCATCACTGCCTCTTTTGGCTCTTTGCTTGTTTTTGGTTTTGAGACAGTTGAAGCTTGTAGCCTGGAATTCCTGATCCTTGTTTTCCCTCATTCCAAGTGTTGGGATTACAGGCATGAGCCCATGAGCCGCCACACCCTGCTCCCTGCTTCTGGTTTTCACACAGATGGAAAAAGAGACCGTTCAACCCTCCACTGGGGCATGAAATGCCAGCTGCCTGCTCTATTGCTCTGTCCCCACAAGAGTTCAGACTCCAGCTGAGGCCGGACGGACCATCTGGGCCATTTTCATCGTACGTTTTTCCCCTCCACAGGATTTCTGTTTGATTTTCTTTCTGGTTACAGAACTTAACTTGCATTCTGGTGGCATTGGAAAGCTCTTCAACTTGCTTCAATTCTCAGAGTTGTGAATGTGGCTGCCAATGGGGGCAGACTGAGAGGCCATCGATAATGGCACTGGGACCTGTTTCTACTGCATGTACTGGCTTTTTGGTACCCCAGTCTATTTGGATGCACACCTTACTAGGCCTGGATGGAGGGGGGAGGGCCTTGGACTTCCCACAGGGCAGGGTACTCTGCCCTCTCTTAAGGAGGGAGGAGGGTAAGTGGGAAACAGGAGGGGAATGGGAGGAGGGGAGGAAGTGTAAATTTTTGAATGGAAAAATAAAAAAAAGAAATAAAAAATTAAAATTTAACTCTGTGCCGCGTGGGCCCATCAGGTAGAAAGACAGCGATGCTGGGACTGTCCATAGTAAAGACAGACCGAACCAACCGTGGGTGGGATATGGACGACGTGTAGTTTAAAGAAACCTTCACAAAGTGGCGCTGTCCACCACAGAGATTTGATCCCGGCTGGGGGGTGTGGGGTGTGTGTGTGTGTGTGTGTGTGTGTGTGTGTGTGTGTGCTGGTTTGGGCACTGCTGATTTCAGTGCACACCCTGCACCGCAGGAAGTTTCCTTATGGCCACTGGAGGGCAGTCGTGGTTCAGCTTTAAGCGAGGCAGGGACAGTGCGTTACTCAGACATCATAGTCTGTGGGGCTTTCCTTTGGCTGAGGGACCACACTGGGCAAGGCCACCCCTGCTCTGGAGAAGGGAGTGGCCAGGGCAGTGGGGCTTCTGAACTAGGAGTGGGTGACCTTGTAACCTGATGACCTTGGGTGAGTGCGCTTTCTTTTCGCAGCTCACGTTCTTCATCTACAGAGGAAGGATTGGGTTAAAGTGAAGATTTAAGGCCCCTTTGGGGACTCATATAAGGCGATCAGGGACAGAGGGGTGGGTAAAGTGACCCTCACCTTTAACACGGCTATTTTTCTTTCATTATTTCTTTTATAAGGCTTGGAGACTCGATGCTTGATGTTAGAGAAAGCTGGGAACAGGAAGGCTAACCAGCCCTTGGCAGGAGAACATTCTCCTGCTGCAATTGTCGTCAGCTTAGGCTGATTATCTGGACCCCAGTCTGTGTGTCCTTCTGTATCCTCTCTGTCCACCTAACGCACTACCTGGGTTGCTCTACGTGGAAGCTGGCAAAACTCACAAAGGGAACCCACAGCTTGCGAATATCTGGGTTGAAGCGGGGATTAGCAGGCTCACGGTTTTCACTGAAATCTGCCTTTCATGGCTGTTGAGAGAAGCCAGAATGTAGGACGCCTGGGTGACAGTGGCTGGGCTGACTTCAGCACCTTCCCTGTCCACCAAAGACCCTCATAAACACACAGTGACCTACAAGCCATTCTTGACTGAGTTGTTAGTTCTGACGGAGTCCCTGTTGCTCAAGTTAAGGGTGTCATCGCTACTGTTATAATTCCTCACATTCAAATTCCTGACCAACTCATTCGTCTCCACCCCCTACTCCACCCTGAATTAATCTGTTAGCCACTGGATAAGTGTGCAAGCCCAAGACTAAGCTCTGGGCGATGAAGAACGGAAAAGAGTAAGGCCCATTTGCTCAAAGGTTTGCCGTGTATCTCGAATTCAAATCTTGCACATTCCTGTCTACATAGAGGATTTGACTTTAATCCGCACTAGGGGGCGTTTGAGGATGTCATGAGTAGATAGGAGTGCTTGTTTGTAGGTCTCTGTCCCCTTTGACGCCATTGTTCCTACAACACACAGAGCACAGGAGCATCAAATATATTCTCCATCTCTCCTCTCTTGCACTTTGTCGTCTCTGGGACACCATGACACTTGCCAGAGTCCTGCAAGTGAGTACCCCGTCTCTAAGGGTAAAGGTTAGAAAGCTCATCTTTTCCTCCCTGGAGCTCTGAGAGTGAGGTTGGCAGTGGAGATACACTTCCACGTTAGCGGAGGAATGATTAGTTAGAGATAGGCCTCGTGAGATAGACGCATGCGGGTGGATTCAGTGAGCGCAAGGTTCACGGCGCTAATCTCTTACTAGAAGATGAGGAACTCACCGTCACTGTTTTTAGTCACTGTTTTTAGATCAGGAACTCTAGCAGGAGAGAGGAGAATTGGGTAAAAGTGTCCTTGAGACTTCATGGCTGGTCCTGATTGGGAAAAAAAATGAGTTTTAGAGAAAGAGAAAAATGCCTTTTCTTCTACGTTGAAAATTTCTCATAAAAACATTCATATAAAGCTTAAACCTTGATAATTAATGTCTATGGATAGGAAAGCAATGACTCATATATCCCTTTGCCCAATGTATGGATTCATTTACTTATATTCTTGCTACATTGTAACCAAAAGGGGAAGCTTTTAAAGTGCTCTTTCACAGAGGCATATAAGATATTCGGAGCTGCATATAACAATATTACTGGGCATGGTGGTGCACACCTTTAATCCCAGCACTCAGGAGGCAGAGCTAGGCGAGTTCAAAATCTGTGAGAGGCCAGCCTGGCCTACATAGTGAATTCCGGGCCAGCTAAGGTGACATAGGGAGACCCTGTCTCAAAAGCGGCAATCAAAAAGCCAAATCAAAACAAAACAGAGAATGTTTGCGTGACTCAGTGGTAAAAACCAGCTGAGCTTATATGAGGCTCTAGGTTTGATTCCCAGCATGGAAAAAGAACGGCATTTATGGGCTGAAAGACACTTAAGGAAATGCTCAACATCCTTCGCCATCAGAGAAATGCAAATCAAAACAACTCTGAGATTCCATCTTACACCTGTAAGAATGGCCAACATCAAAAACACTGATGACAATTTATGCTGGAGAGGATGTGGGGAAAAGGGAACACTCCTGCATTGCTGGTGGGAATGCAAGCTGGTACAGCTGCTTTGGATATCAGTATGGTGATTTCTCAGAAAATTAGGAAACAACCTTCCTCAAGATCCAGTAATACCACTTTTGGGTATATACCCAAAGGATGCTCAGTCACGCCACAAGGACATGTGCTCAGCTATGTTCATAGCAGCTTTGTTTGTCAGAGCCAGAACCTGGAAACAACCTAAATGCCCCCGATCAAAGAATGGATAAGGAAAATATGGTACTTTTACACAATGGAGTACTACACAGCAGAAAAAATATTGACATCTTGAAAATTTCAGGCAAATTTATAGAACTAGAAAACATTATATTAAGTGAGGTAACCCAGACCCAGAAAGACAAATATCATATGTACTCACTCATAAGTGGCTTTTTGACATAAAGCAAAGAAAAACCAGCCTACAAATCACAATCCCAGAGAACCTAGACAACAATGAGGACCCTAAGAGAGACATACATGGATCTAATCTATATGGGAAGTAGAAAAAAGACAAGATCTCCTGAGTAAATTGGGAGCATGGGGACCATGGGAGAGGGTAGAAGGGGAGGGGAGAGGACAGGAGGGGGGCAGAGAAAAATGTAGAGCTCAATAAAATCAATTAAAAAAAGAATGGTGTTTATAAAACCTTGAAAGGCTGGCAATAGCTGAAGCTATTTTAATAGCTGCCTTCCCATGAAAGATGGCAGGGAAACCATCCTGTGCTCTATAATGGAGGACCCAGGTACGTGCAAAATGAGAGGATGAGTCTCAGGTCGAGAATGTTGACTGAATTGTACTGCAGAGATGGCTCAGAGGTTAAGAGCACTGGCTGTTCCTCCAGATGTTCTGAGTTCAATTCCCAGCAACCACATTGTGGCTCATGACTATGTGCAATCTGGTGCGCTCTTTTGGCCTGCAGGCATGCACGCAGATGGAATACCGCATACATAATAAATAAATAAATCTTTAAAAAAAGAATGTTGATTGAAAAGCACAAATTTCAGAAGAATAGTGACAGTCTCTATGCAGTATGTACAAAACTAATAGCCATGTTGTTTAGGGATTCAAACATGAGGGAGAGACTGGCCAATGGACCAACACAGTTCAGCTGTAGGGCACCATTAAGAGGGAAGGGAAAGGAGGAGCAGTGGGGTACCCCTCCTTTTATCCCAGAGGCTCACAAATTGTGGGGAATGCTGAGGATCAAACCCAGAGCTTGGACAGGCTAGGCTAGCATTCTCCCACTGGGTTACGGATGTGTATATGAAGCAAAATTATTAAGATGAATGTAGGTGTTCACTAAGTGTGTTTATTAGCACATCACAGATATTTTATAATATTCTCTTGGGACAGCTGAGTGGTGGTAGCGCACACCCTTAATCCCAGTCCTAGGGAGACAGAGGCAGAGGCAGATGGATTTCTGAATTCAAGGCTAGCCTGGTCTACAAAGAGAGTTTCAGGAGAACCAGTACTACACAGAGAAACCCTCTTATACGTTACCCACCCCCGGCCATCCTGAATACAACTAGGGTATGTGCCAATCAACTTTAGAGATCACTGGATTCATGAAACAGGACAAAACTTTCATGTCTAAAATGTAGACCAGGGATGGAGCAGGGAACGGGAAGCTCGGCCAGGCTTCAACCACTCAACCACGGAATAAGAAAGACCATTGTCACTTACCCAGAGATGTGTTGCCTGAAACAACAGGGGCTTCGGGGTACTTTGCCTTCAGCGCCAAGAGGTCTTGGAGGGTTCCTGGAGAGATCCAGGTAATTCTCTCCCCGTAAAAGGTCAGGGTTTGTTTTTCTGGGTTCTCGGCCATCCTCTAAAGACAAATGACAGGATAACGTACATCAGTCACCCTGGGCCACACCAGGTCCTGGGTGGGTTGTGTCTCTCTAGGAAGACTTCAGGGTTCCAGGTCCACTTACCCAGAATGACACTCTTTGTGTCCCCTGGCTAAAGCCTGGATTCTTGTAAGTAAATGGTCTTTGAGGAACAAGCGATACTGTGAACTGGCGCCTGCCACGGACCGCCTAGCATGGGCTAAGTCAGCATTAATCCAGTTTCCTGACTTTAAGACTGCAGCTGCACTAATGATCCTAAGTTAATAACCTCAGTCTGGATTTTCCCTCTACTATTCAAAGCATTCCTCAGTGAGTTCTTGATGTCTGCCCCCTTTTAGATGTGTCGGGGGTATCCCACATTTAATTTGCTCCAAACCGAGGTCCCCATGCCCAGCCCTTCCCTCGGCCCGTGGAATGGAACCCCCAAAAGAACCTCCATCACTCTGGAGGTCTATCCGTTGTTGTAACTGGTACCATCTAGCTATGCACAGCTCCGGGGTCAGGCTGGACTCCTGTTTTCTCCACATCGCGTCCATTCACCAGCAAGCTGTGTGGTTTTCTTCCCAGACACACCCAGAGTCCTGAACCAGAGGTCTAGCCTAGTCTAGCCACTGCCCTTCTGCATGGTGTTCATCCCCTGAGGGGGGACAACCCTTCTTCCCTTCCTTTGCCTCCTGCTTTGGGTGCTTCTTGGCTCAGCAGCTTGAAGGATCCTGATAAGATGTCTCTGTAAGAGTTTGTCCCTCCTCTAGACAACCTCCCTCACAGTGGCTCCTTCATAGAGAGGAAGCCAAGCAGTGGGAAAGTCCAGCATGACCTGCCCTGACGGCTCCTGACCGTCCCTTCTCCTCGCTCTGCTCTGTCCAGGCTGGCTCAGCGCGGTCCTTGGGTATCAGGCCAGCTATTATCTTGCTTCTGGTTCCTTCACACGCATTCTCCACTGCCCAGATAGTTTTTTTCATCACATCTTTTCACGACTGGCTCCATCCTTCCTTCTAGAATTTCTTCAAACATTGCCTCCTCAGAGGTGGCTTCTATGGCCATATCACTGAAAAGTGAGACCACCTGCAGCCCAGCTTCGTTATCTGCTTGGTGATGTTTCTCCTCTCTATTTACCTCACTGTAAGTACCAGGTTGGCCTTGAACTCACAGAGATCCACCTTTCTCTGGCTCAGGAGTGCTGGGATTAAAGGCTTGTGCCGCTGTGTCCAATTTACATATTCTATCTTTCACCTCTTATTTTGAGTATCATCTGTCTCTTACCAGATTATAAACTCCTATAGGGCAGTGTTTTTGTGAGCTTTGTTTCTTTCCATACAGTTGGTACTTAGGACAGTGTTGGCATGTCGCTGAATGGATATACGTGCACACACACGTATATACATATACTCATTCAAATATATATACATTCATATATTATATTATATATAATTATATAGAAACATATAATATATGGATACGAATATATTACATATAATATATATGAATATACACATACACACACACACACATATATATATACACACACACACACACACACACACACATATTTATATATGAATGAGTAAGCATGCCAGAGCTCCCCCAGAAAAAGGTGCTGGGTGCTGGAGAGGGCTAGGAACATGTCCTGCTCTTTCTGGAGACCTTACTTTGGTTCCCAGGACCCATGTAGAGTGGCTCATAACTGCCTCTAATACCAGTTCCTGGAATCCTACACCCCTACAATGGGCAAGGACACTTAGGTGTACACACACACACACACACACACACACACACACACTGGCAAAGACATCATTAAAATCAGAAGTAAACATTTAATAAGAGAGAGGAAAGCATTTTATAGAAAGAGGTACGGATGCCTGAGAAGGAGGGTCAACACACACATGAAGGTAGTGGTGAAGAAACTGCCCTCAAAACAGGGGTCAGGGGAAGGAAAGAGGAAGCTGCTTCTTGAACTCAGGGTAGTGGCGTTCCTGGAAAAAACATGGCAGATGCTTAGCAAAGCAGAAGGGCCTGGACAGCCAACAGGGCACAGGGATGAAAATAACGGTGGGATGATGTTTAAAAAGTCCCAGCTACGGCCTAGGGAAGGTCAGCCAGATCTGGGGAGAAGCAGGTTTCTGGATCCTAGCCACTACTTCTCCAATTTGACATGCCACCTGAAGGACATGGTAGATTTACAAAGCTGGATTTATAATCGGATGTGTTTAAACAAGCACGTGAAATACCCACGTTGTCTTACCAGGAGTTCTGGGGGAAATATGGGCTCCTGGGTTGGGTCCAAGGGCTGGAACTCCTCTTTTGCAAATAGCTTCATGCAGATCTTTGAAGGAGAAAGAAGCAGACGGTTGTGTCAGCTCAGCTCAACTGGAAAGAACACTGGAATTCTTGACAGAATTAGACAAGATGCAGGGGTCTATCATTTTCCCCAAGCAGGGAGCTTAATCACAGCTTAAAAGGGGAATGTGATTGCCAGGGAGAGACTAACTAGCCACCCATATGATACTGAAGGAAAGAAGGAAGGTCATTAGCTCTTGCAGAGAGCATCCTGGGAAATGCCGAGACATCTGTGAACATGACCAGATGTTAAAGAAGCTTGGGGACCTCTGCTGTGCTTACTGTCCCCTCCTTCACAACCTAAAGAACCCTCTGGGGAGAAAGCCCACAGTTTCAGGGAAGATGACTCTAACGTACTTTTCTGCGTAAACACACAGGCACAACTGTTTACTGAGTGTTTTTTTACACCTATTATGTTATTTAATCTTCACGATAATTGTATAAAGAAAGTTATAATCTCCTTTTTGTCTACCAGGAAATGAAGGCAGAACCGAAATGGACCCATCTGGCATCCTGCCTCACTCACATCTGCCTCAGCTTCGAGGGATACTTGTTGCCAGGAAACATTCACGAGGAGATGAGAGAATGGGACTGTGGGGGCGTGGTGCAGGTGGGTGTCCGTTTAAATACATCTAGAGTCACTGGGCTTCATGTAAGCCAAGTGGTATCCAAGTGGGATGCTCAAATTGAATGCCCAAGCCTTCAAGGTTGGGAGTCAATTTTTGGGATGTATTGGCTCTACCAAGTGTTGATCTGTGAGCCATTATGGGGTGCGCATCTCGCCTTCTTGGGGTAACACCCCTCTACTCCACTGCACACCTTCTTTAGAGAGGTGAGTGTGGACAGGCAGATCTGAAGGACACGAACAGGGAGGGAGAGGATGAGGGCACTTTTCCCAGGGCTGCTCCGAGCTCTCTCACAGCCTGTGGGGTGGGCAGTTAGGCGCTCATCACCTGCTCTACTTGACTCCTGCGAGAACTCAGCTGTGGACCTTTGTGAAAATGAGCATCCTTTCAGAGGATAAAGCCGGAGCTGGGATACTGAGCTGGACTTCTGGGTGGCTGGCATTATCTTGCCCTTAGCTCCCTGAGGTGGCAGTGCTGTCTCTGACTCAGCTCAGGGACAGAGGAGAGCAGTGTGAGCAGGGACAGCTTTAGAACTCCGTTTCTAGCTGAGGGGGCGACTCATCCCTCCAGCAGTAGAAGTTCTTTTCTGCCATCCATGAGGTTTTTGTTTCCCTTTGGTTCCAGCCTTTCAGACTATGATGGGGAAAATCAGATTGCAGTCTTTGTGTGAGCACTCTACAAAGGGCCTGGTTCCTGTCCGTACTTAGGAAGGCTGCAAACAAAGAGGGGAGCGGCCCCTCGAATGCACACACCTGCTTCCGGAGCTGGGTCAGCCTTAAGAAACACACAGGGAGAGAATAAAACAGGGGGACTCACGTTACTTTTGGCTGCAAGGGAATCGTCTTCTTTCTGATCCAAGCAGCATTTTCCTGTTCCTTTCTGCTGACAACCATTTGGCTCCTGAGAACATGAAGTGCTTTATATGAACAATACTTTTGATAGGCAAATAAGGATGTTCCTTGAAGGTGTGAATAATATATATGAGACTTCAGCCTCTGAAGCCACTTTCTGCTTAGACGGATAACACAAGGCAATTCTCCCTTTGCTTTGTTCATTTATTTTTTAAAAGATTTATCTATTTATTATGTATACAGTATTCTGTCTGCATGTACACCTGCATGTCAGAAGAAGGCACCAGATCTCATCATTACAGATGGTGTGAGCCACCATGTGGTTGTTGGGAATTGAACTCAGGACCTCTGGAAGAGCAGACAGTGCTCTAAACCCCTGAGCCATCTCTCCAGCCCACCTTGTTTATTTTTTTTATAAACTATATGTCATATAAACAAGTTTTATAGAACAACACAATGTACAGAAGTCTTAAACAATCAGTGCCCTCCGGCATTTTGTATTTGGGATTGAGGTGTACTTATAGCTTACATTTCTATAGCGTAATCACTAGGTGAACATCCTTCGTTGCAATCAGAAAACCATGTTCACGTATGAGTTATTTTAGGGTAATTTCTAGTGGTAGAATACATTTTTATGGTATTTTTCAGGATGACCACAATACAGCCACTATAGCACATATACAGTTTGCAACATTGTTCTCTATCATTCAGATAGAACCTCTCAGAAAGAGAAAAGCAACATGCAAAAGGGGAGATTGCTTGGAAGAGCGGACGGCAGTTTTTAAAGGGGTTCCCACTTAGCGCCTCCACTTCCATCCCTTGCAAACCGCCTCCTTGCATTTTCTTTCTTGGACAGCTTCTCCCTCCTTGCATCTTGCTAAGTACTTCCTCCCAACTTTGAATTCCCTGGTGTTTTTGAGTAGCTAACTCTGCCCAAGAAATAAGAGCAGTTGGCTGAGCAAGCTGCGTTTTCTCGCTCCCTTTAAACCCTCAGAGTTCCTAGGATGGACATGGGCCAGCAGTGGCTGAGGAAAGCTGGGCTTCTTCGGGCTCAGTGGACAATAAAAAGCCTTAGGTATCCCACCTGGCTGGATTTCCTTCACCCAGTAAAGTATCCTGAGACTGGCTGTCTGGCTACAGGCTGAGCTATTGGAACTCATTTTTGGCTTTATCTCCAGAATCTATGTACCTGGAGAGGCAGATGACAGTTACGCCTTCAGGGAAAGGAGTTGACTCAGCCTGTTTACTGGTATTTCATGCATGTTTTCACACTTACAGCTGCGATTTGCTGGGTTTACAGTCTGTTCCTTTCGCTGTTTAGCATGTCTAATCGGGTCTCCTCTTGAGGCAATAGAAATCTGGAACACACATGCCTAGAATACCTGCCTGACTTTGGGGACGTGGGACAAACCTGTTGTACATTTCCAGGTGTATCTCTATTATGTGTGGAATTAAGGAAAATATAAACAGAAATCTTGACTCGTGGCTTCTGATTTCTCTTCCTATACATATCTTCAGGGGCCTCAGATGCCCGTGTGACTACCCAAGCCCAATGTCTACTTTCTCCACAAGGTGTTGCTCAATGACCACCCTCTGAACTTGTGTGCAGACACTGGCTCCTAAGACCATCCCTTGATTATCTCAGAAAGGGCTGCACCTGGTCTAAAGGTGGAGTCCAAGCCTTGTATGGAGAATTGTCCAGAAAAAACCTTATCACTTGTTCCTATGGACTCTCGAGAATAGCTGGATAAGAACCACAGGGGTCTCCTCCAAGATGTCTTTCCTTTTGTCTAAAGTTTCCTGCCCACCCCATTTTGTTCTCAGCAGAGGGTCATCGGACATGCCCATCTTGAGTGTTTGTCAAATGCTAGCCATACTGCCAACAACATTATCAACATTAATAATTATCTGTTGAACTCTTACTAACTGCCAAACGAGACGCATTTGATTTTTACTGGGGAAGCACCCTCGCTTCTGGAGGCCACACCCTGTGATCTTGGAGTGGATTTTGGCTTCGACGTTGCAATTTCAGCTTCCTTAACTCTTCACGAATTCCTAGTTGGTTGGGTTTTTGGAAGGAACTTTCTTCATCGAAACACATCTTTGGTTGACTCCAAGCGTTTGTAGGCTCACGTAGCCTGCCTTGGATAGATGCCTTGCCCAACTGACTTCCCTCCATGGATCTAGACCACATCAAAGGTGGTGGTGATGCTCACCTGGTTTTCAGGAAGATTCAACATTCCAGTGAGCCCCCTCCTCCTGCCTCATGACTTTGTCTGCCTTAAAGTCGGTTGTGATGGTCTTTACAAACCTCACTCTTGCGTCCCCAGCTTTGGCCACTTGCCCTTCTTATTCTTGCTCTGTAGGACAAGTCTCCACCCACGTGTTCTTGCGTACTCACCGTGCAGAAGGTCCTGCCACTGTCCAGAATCGGCCGATACCCAGTGCAGCGGCAGAGGTTACCTGATTGGAGGAGAAGCATGGCTGTGAGCTTCTTGTTTCTACCGACTTGTGTTTTAGATTATTGTTTATTAATGTGTGTGTGTGTGTGTGTGTGTGTGTGTGTGTGTGTGTGTGTAGATGTCCTTGGTTGGAGGTGAGAAAAGAATGCTGGATTTCCTGCGGCTGGAGTTATAGGTGGTTCTAAACCACCCCATGTGGGCACCGAGAACTGAACTCAGGTCCTCTGGAAGAGCAAGCAGTCAGCACTTTTGATGACTGACTCATACCTCCAGCCACACTACTGGCTTCTTTTAAAAGTTGAGATAGATCCAAGGCATTTTCTTTTCAGTCCTGGGGAATAGAACTCAGGGCCTTGGGCATGCTAGGATAACATTCTGCTTCTGAGCTATGACTCTAGCCCTGATGTCTAGCTACTGACAATAACTGTATTTCAAATTATGTAAGACAGTGGGATCCTAAAACAGAAAATCCAGGCAATTCCGAAGGTGCCGATAGATGGTCTATCTGGTGTGGCTAAGTCACTGCCTCCGGCTCACCTGGATAGATTGGGTAGGGACGTGTTTATGACTGGAGCCTGCATATCTGGAGACAGGCGAGACCCTACATTGAAGAGGCCAGAGGGCCAATCTGTTGAATGACAAAGTCTGGAATCCTCCTGTTTCCAAGGATGAAGGCCTGAGGGTCACGGGGTAGGACAGTCAGTGTAGACCAGAGTTCATCTAGGGCGACCTGACTGAGACGTTTGGGCTCAAAGGATATGAAAGCTATTGGGTTAGTAAAGAACGGATAGAATTCTCAGGGCAGTAGGATTTCGGAATGGGGTGGAGCCTGGTCTGGAAGGAGTCTGGAAGAATAATAAGTTGGGCTTGGCCATGCTTTAGGACTGAGGGGCTGCTGAAGAGGGACCCAAGGAAGGCGGGGCTAGGGGAGTTCTTATGATTCTCGTTATTAATTATTATTTTGCTGAGGATTGAGCCCTGGGCCTTTGCACATGGCCGTCAGCCACTCTGTCTCTGAGCTTGTGGTCAGCTCCGAGTTTCTCCACTTGAAAGAAGAGATAAAAGGAGAGCACTGGGAAGAACAAGGGAGAGAGAGAGGAAGAGCAGGAGAGAGAGAGAGAGAGAAAAAGAGAGAGCAGGAATGCCCATCAGCAGCTGACACATAAGGAGGGGGGAAGGGAGAGAGAGAAGAGAGAGGGAGAGAGGGAGAGAGGGGGAGAAAGAGAGAGAGGGAGGGGAGAGAGAGCGAGAGAGCAGGAGTGCCCATCAGCAGCTAGCAGATAAGAAACACATCTGCCCTCACCTCACCTGTCTGTCTTTAACCTACAAACTGACGATTGTTTAGGAATACACACAAAGGTGATGCTTATTAATCCAGTATGTTTATGAACTTAAAACTTAGAAATCTGGGGATGGAGAGGTGGCTCAGCAGCTAAGAGCACTGACTGCGCTTCCAGAGGACCTGGGTTCAACTCCCAACACTCACACGGCAGCTCAAAACCGTGACTCCAAGATCTAACACCCTCACACAGATGTACACGCAGGCAAAACACCAATGCCCTTAAAATAAAAGTAAATAAATTTAAAAAAACTGTTGCAAATCTACAAGATTCTTTCAGATAAGAGAGGCTTATTATGAATTGAAATATGCCCCCCAAAAGACACACAAAGTTCTGATCCCCAGAACCTTATTGGGAAAATAAAATCTTTCCCGATGGAATCAGGCTGTGATGATATTGTCCTGGATTGTGATGGGTCTAAACCAGCGGCTGATGCCTTTGAAAAAGAGGGAGATTCATGACACAGAGACCCAAGGCGGAAAGGTGAGAGAGAAAGATTAGAGTTTTGCAGCCACAAGCCCAGAAGCGCCAAGGTCTAGTCGCCGCCATCCTCTGAGGCTGGGGGTGAAGAAGGAAGGCTTCTCCTCTGAGCCAACAGACAGCACAGCCAGGACGGAAAGCTTGACCACAGACTTAAGGCTTCCAGAACTACAGGAGAATTTCCTGTGTTTCGAGTTGGCCGGTTTGTTCTGCTTTGGGCAAGCTCATGAAATGGATTCAGGCCCTTGGGAAGCAGGTGCTGTGTCATGAGAGAGAGAAGCATGGTGGCCCCTGTGCTGTGTGCAGAGATGACACCTTTTGCTGTTTCTGCACGGCCTGTTTTAGAAATAACTGTGGCTTGGAACTTGGAGCTGGAACGATGTTGGAGATGGCGGAGGGGAAGCCGGAAGTACCTTTCCCTTCTGCCTGCCTCCTGGGTCAGACTTACCCCCCAGGGCTTCCATGAGCTGTTCCTCTGAGGGCTGTGGGTGGTTCCTGAGCAGGGCGTACATGGACATCACCATCCCGGGGGTGCAGAATCCACACTGGGTGCCGTGGCTCTTGGCGATTCTCTCCTGGAGGGGTACAGTTGTGGTCACAGACCCGTGTTCCTGTTGTCACCAGTCATCTCCAGGGTCCACAGCCTGTGTCCTTCTGGGCAAATGTGCCTCACCTCTGTTTATTTCTGTACACCCCTTTCTCAGGCATCCCAAAGGTATTGACTCAGAAGCCCCATCTTATCATTTTATCATTTTAATTGATTTTTCAGGGTCAAATACCTTCTATTTGGGAGTTAGCAGTGTGCAGCCTGTTCTCCCCATGGGAAGAGTTCTCCAGGAAGGAGAGAACCATTAGTTCTCTAACTATAGTGTGGGTAAGTTTCAAAACTGGTTTTCGCGAGTACCTGCATCTTTCACCACTTAAGTTCTCACAGGAGGCTGTGTAGTTTTGATTGACTTGGAGACCATCGCTGACCCCATGTCCCCTTCTTTAATGTTCTTTTGCATTTGCTCAAAGGAAGCTCAGCTTCCAAAGCTTGAGGATTTGGGTCTCTGTTATTTAAAGTGTGGTCTATGGTCTGGAACCACTAGGTTTAGAGTAAAATGCCCAGGATTCCAGCGTGTTGACTTCGCTGTGTCTTATATGACTTCCTAGCAGATTTGGGGACTTTTCTGGGTCCTTCATCTTAGCTGCCCTCTTTGGCATCAAATCCCACATGGTTAATCCAAGAGACACTTGGGCTGCTAAGTGTTTTTTTTTTTTTTTTTTTTTTTTTTTTTTTTTTT